TTATATCTACTTAAAGCTTGAATAATATATGATGTGCTTAAAAGAAATTAAAAAAAAAAGAATTCGCATGCACACAAAAAAACAACAACATATCTTGTTTATTGTCTGTTGATGATTTCATTAAATTTTAGTAGCCATATTTACGTTCGAACTCTAATGCCATTTCGAGAAGTTCTTCGTCACTGATCTCGGGTAGAGGTACAACTAATTCAGCTGCACGATTTGGTAGTCAAATGTCGAAAAAAAAATATCGACAAGTAAAAATGTTGACAACAAAATGTCGACAAAAAATGTCGACAGGTAAAATGCCGACATATAAAAAAATGTCGAAAACTCTATCATGATATATAAAAATCGTGTAGCATATGCTGTCATCTATTTTTTTTTCTGTTTGTGTATTTTCTTTATGCGTGTTGGCCTGGAAATAACTAAATATCTTTATACGTGTTGGCCTGGAAATAACTAAATATCTTTATACGTGTTGGCCTGGACATAACTAAATACGACTTTCTTCGAATTTATAGTGAAATGTCCTTAGAAAAATGTGCTTAACGAAATATTCTTTTCTTCTCATTCTTTACTAATCTCTTTGTACAGTATAGACTAGAACATTCTAGATGATTTTCCTTGTTTCTTATTCGTTCGAGGTAATTCTCGTGCTTCTCTCATATATAAATGCTCGTCATTTGTGCATTTAATATCATAGTAGTGTATTCAACACATTCGATTTTTTCATTTCGTTCTAGTAGTATATTTTTTTTGATATGTCTACTGCTCCTAGTCTTAGCTTTTCGATCAGCAACAAACGTAAACAAATCTTAATATGTGATGGATTTATTTTTCAATTAAACCGTACTCGACCAAGGTTGAAGTACTGGCGATGTAAAGATCGAACTTGTTCAGCTTATATTCATACGGATCACAAGAATCAATATGTTGGTAAATCTGGCGATCATAATTTACATTTACCAGTGCCTGAACAAGTCGAAGTTGCACTATTTAAAGAAAAGGTGAAAGAACGAGTTTTGAAAGAAACAACGGCTATTGGAAAGATTTACGATAAGGAAATGGCTTCTCTTACTCTAAGTGACGGTGCTCTTAATTTAATTCCATTGCCAGAAGAAGCAAGTTAGTATTTTCGTTTTTTTATGTCTTCTTTGTTGATTTTTTTAAACTTTAGAAGCATCGCTTAATCGTTTACGACGGCAAACAACACCACCATTACCAACATCGTCTTTTTTCGATGTTCCCGATGCTTATTCAACGACAACCACTGGTGCACATTTTTTATTTAGTGACACAGTTGTTCGAAAGAAGCGCGTGATATTGTTTGCAACAGATGAGCAATTACGTATGCTTTTTTCAACAAAAACTATTATGATCGATGGAACATTTTCGGCATGTGTACCACAGTTCGATCAAGTGTTTTCATTGCATTGCGTGAAGTATAGATACAGTAAGTCAATTCTAAATTTTTTAAATACCTGTTTAAAAGTAAACTATTTTTTGTTAAAGATTTTCCATGTGCTATTGGGTTGTTGCCTGGTCGGACTGCTACAATATACAAGCATGTCTTCGAGGTATTGGATGCAGCAGCTCAACGTCTTAATTGCAAATTCAATCCAAACAAAATCATGTCTGATTTCGAACGCGCTCTTATCAAGACAATTGCTTCATATGTAAGCAGTAACTTTCATATCGATCGAGTCTTATTACATCTTTACTTCTTTTAGTTTCCGAACACACAACATTCGGGATGTTTCTTTCACTACACCCAGTGCTTGAATCGTCATATTCAATCACTGGGATTAAGCACCTTTTACAACAACGATGAAGAAATGCGCTCGTTGTGTAGACACGTAATGGCGTTACCGCTACTGCCAGTTGAAGACGTTCAACGAGCTTTTGAAACACTTAGTGAAGAAGCTCCGGTGGAATTGCAACCATTTTTTGAATATTTCGAAGATTGGTGGATGAAGAAGGTGCCATTTCGTCTTTGGAACGTATCGAATTTAAAAGTAAAAACGAACAATAATGTTGAATGTAAGGCATATTTTTTTTATTGTTCTAACTTTGTTTTTTTTATTGTAGCATGGCATAGTCGGTTCAACAAAAGAGTCGAAAAAAATCATCCTAATTTTTGGTCATTTGTGAATGTATTGAAGCAAGAAGAAGTTCATTTTAGACAACAATTAATTCATTGCAATTCTGGCAAGTTCAAAAAGGCGGCAAAGAAGACATGCACAATGCAGAATAAACTTAAAGAACTTTGAAAGAGATATGACGAAGAAATGATTAAAATGAATGAATATCACAATGAATTATCAAAGCTTATCGGTACAAAATGAAAATTATAGAAATGTGTTGGTACATACTTTGCGTATAGGACTTCAGCTCTTTCTTCTCACACATATGTATTTCCTATTTTATTTTTCATTGATATGTATTCAAAATTTATCTAATAAATTATAAACTGAATTTATCCATGCTTCAATTTTATTTTTTTATCGTCAGCTTTTTTCTTTGAATTTCATGATGTCGACGTTTTACATTGTCGACATTCGGCTTTCGACATTTTGCAGTCGACATTTGGCTACTTTCCCAGCTGCACTAATGAATTTTGGTGGACTTCCTGCTGAAACAACAGGTGCTACAGGCTTTTGTTCTGTTGAGTCACTACTAACTTTAATCTTTTTTGTTGGAACATTTAAATCTTCAGGTACAGGTCGTTTTTCTCTACGACTTGATGGACTGCATGATA